ATATAAGGTCTATTCGCATTGCCTGAAATCTCCAAAAATTTGCTGACCTTAAAATGATATAATTTAAACTGAACAAATGTAAATGGAAATTATATCAGTATCAGCTGATCCATTACTAAGTTAATTATAGAGCTACTAATCTCATAATAAAAGAAATAATTTTTGACACTGCTAACGGAACTTTAACAGTAAGTTAATTGGGATTTAATCAAAATAGTTAATATCCATTTCTATAACTAATAAATATATATAAATTTTAATCTCAGTTAAACATACTTTGTTAGTTTTAAGAAGTAAAAAAAAAGATTAAGGGTAAACTGAGATTAAAATTACTTATCTCTATATATAAAAATTATTAGTATTCGATGAAAGCTTGATTTGCAAATAGCAAAGCTTTAGCTTGGGGCCGGGGGATAAATTAAATCCCGCACTGAATCCCACGAATTATACATATTTGCAGCACACAGGCACGTATACCACGTGTCGAATTGCCTCGCCTCCATTGGTGAATTGGTCATCCACTCCACGCGTGTCAACATTATTCCACAAATATAAATGCATATTCTTGGAATGAAAGAGCAAATTCGTGCCGTGTTTATGCTCGAAGAGAGTAAAAAAAAAGAGAGACGAAGCGTTTCAGATTTACAATTCTTATATATAAATACATTAATATCTTATTTGAAATATTTTATAAAATATATAAATATCTTATTTGCGGACAGACATGGAAAGAGAATTTGAAATTAAAATCTCTTTGCGGTATTCAATACATCGTTTAATAAGAGAAAATCGTTCACAAAATCGGGATCATATTTACATAAAACAAATAGAACGTTTTAATTTTGTGGGAGAAAATTATATAAGTACGTAACCTATAAAAATATTGGATATGAATTAATCTGGCATTCTCTAATGTTTTGTATTATATTATTAGTATTGTGCAACTACATAATTAGCAACTATATAACTAAATAATTGCGAGATTATCTGAAAACGCGTTGATAAGAGGAAAAATATGAGATAAAAATTGAAGTTATTTGATAAATCGCTATATCAATTATTTAATACTTATCTTACTTTACTAATAGATAACAAATCTAATGTATATTTTGACAGATCGTTATTGAAAATATGTAAGCATAGTGGAAGAAATAACATTTTTATTTCTGTGTAAATATGATATTATTAATATATAGATTTATCAGGTAATTCCAGGTTTTGCTTTGTATTTTTCCTCATGTCAACGCGTTTTGATATCAGTAATTTTTATTTTTATTTTTTAACAAATGTCTGAAACAATTATCTTGAAGATAATGTCTACAAGACATTATAAATCGGAACATAAAACATCTTAAAATGTCATATAAACGTCTTTCATATAGTGCCAAATATGTCTCATGAATTTTAAAGTGTTTTTATAATGTCTTATACAGGGTGTCTCATTTTAAGTAATACATTAAGATTTCTCGAAAAAACTATGGTAAATACGGAAAAATGTTTCAAACAAAAGTTATATGATTTGGAGGGGGACAAGAAGTATCATTGATTTGATCTTGGCGACGCCACCTAAGATCAAATCAATGGTAATCTCCTTCAAACTATACAGTTTTTGTTTGAAATATTTTTCCGTATCTACTATAGTTATCAAAAAATTTTAATGTATTATTTAAAATAGGATACCTTGTATATAAGACGTCTCAATGCAGACTTCTCTGGGCAGACACACATTTCCAGAACAAATGATACGTTTACTTATCAGCAAACAACAAATAAACGTTTTTCGTTTCATTTTGTTATAGACGCACGTAAAAATAGCTATTTTATTCGCTTGGTAAAAGAGTTTTACTAGGACGATCAAGAAAATGTGCATCATCTACTGCTGACTTTTAGACTGTATATTAATTTAGAGTTTAGACTTTTTTACAATGTTATATATTAATATAAAATATTAGAATTAATAAGAAATATTTGTTAATGTATAGTCTACAAAAAAGCTTCATTATAAAATAGCTATTATATAATATTACTATAATTAAAAAATTGTTAAAAGATTTCGCTTAAAGTTCTATTTTTTCTAGTATAAATTTCATTCTTAGAAAGTTTATAAAGTTACAGAGGGGCTTATCACGAGCTTATCACACATAGATTTAAAATTAATGACATCGTAAATGATAATAATTTTATCTACGTTAACGATCATTAATGAGGTCACATTATTAATGATTAACTTGATAACTATTATTAATTATCGTGAGATTCGTTTAACAAAGAAAGAAAAAAAAAAGAAAAATGAAAGATAATATTATGAACAAGAATGGACACACGTTTTGAAAGTCTGTTTTACGAAGAAAATGTTATCCAGAATTGCGATTGGAAAAAAAGGTGACTTCAATAAAATTTCGATTAATCGGCAATTATTTCGACTGTAAAATTACTTACTGCAAAATTTTTAAACTATATGATTTGCTATCCCTGACCGGTCATTCTTTTTAAATGTATTAAATGTTAATAATTTTTCTACATTCAACTTCAACTCAAATAACATTCAATTGTTAAAATGATGATAAATAATATCAGCTTATTTGTTGAAGATCCAGATGATGTTTTGACTAAGAAATATCTGGCCAAATTTTATTGTGTATGAATTATAAGAAAATAAGTTATAAATATATTCCTTTCATATATATAACAATAATTTATAATCACAGTGATATTAGTAACTATTTGGGTTATATATGTATATTAATTTAAATTTTTTTATAGATTATATATTAATAAATACTACATATTTATTAATGCTAATATTAATAAATTTATTAATATTACTTATTAATATATACTCATTAATTAATATTAATATTAATATCATAATATTAGATGTAGTAAAAAGAAATCCATTATTTTTCCATTCAATTTCATGCAAAAATAATGGATTTCTTTTTACTATACCTAATAAATACTATACAATTAAATTGAGGATTGTAAATCGAAATGTTTTTTATTTTGTATGCTTAAAATAATTAATTAAGCTAGAAAATGATAATGAAAAATCGATTTATTCGTCATTGATTTCTATTTGTTTATGATTAATATTTAACAAAAAGAGATAGAACGGAAATTACATACTGGTATTTGTTAATTAAATATTTGTTATCAAAAGATGATAATCTAATCGATTTCATTTTCCATTTGTTTATAACTTAATATTTAACTAAAGGGAATCGAATGCAAACAAAATTGCATGCTGATATTTGTTAATCATATAGAAAATACATATGTTTTACATTATATTATATTTTATTACGTTACATTGTATTTATAAAAAACGTACATATGATGGATTATGTACTTTATCTGCATACCTGTATATTTTATATTCAATTACTATTATTAATAAAATAATATAGACGCATATTATAAGTATATTTATTAAATAAAACATTAATAAAATAATTAAACTATTAGAGTGCGCTGGGACTTAACGTTCATCAGAATTCTGGTAATGTTGCGTATTACTGACGGAACAAATATTTGTCGTTTGTTAAATCCAACTGAAAAATATTAAAATCTTTATAATATAATATGCTATAATTCTTATAATCTAATACAATCTACTAAACATTACAGCTGTAAAATCTCGAATCTTGTTATAACAATCAAAAATATTTGATTTAACCAAAGTGCATTTAATAATATACGCTGATATCAAAATCATTTTTCTCACGCATTAAGAAAGAAAATCTATTCTGGATACATACCGACATGAAAATCATCAAGACAGATAAAGCTGCAAAACTGAAAAAATATACTTTCATTATATTTAACAAAAATATTTGTGTTAAATTAATGTAAAATCATGAGAACAATTAATGTAAAAGAATTTTGAATATATAAATTAACAATAAAAAATATAAAAATGCAATTAAGGGGATAGACGTATTGGAAATCAAGCGTTAAATCTCCTTTCAAGCATCGTGGAAAAGGAAATCATTATCAAATCGCGTTGATATCAAGGTGTTAAGCCGGGTTACGAAACGATTTCCTCGATAATAAGGGCGATAATGCGGACATGACACTCAAGAGAAGATGAAATATTTAATCATCTTATATTGATATTATAATTTTACTTGGTTAGTTAAGACTATATTATTTAGGTTATAATTTTTAATTTGGTACAATAGTTTTTTTCGAGGAGTAATCATTTTTTGACAAAGAATATAATATTAAAGAGCTACCATTACTTGGATTGAATAATAAGAGGCTCATCAATAAGAATATTTTTTAATTAAAACTACTACTATTTGAGTTGGATAAATAAAAAGATTCGTTATTAAAATTGCATCATACAGAATTATTTTTAATAATTTATTAAATAAAATGTGAGCAATATCAAGCAGGAAAACATACATGTGCTGCTGGTTTTATAATTCGATCGATATCCCGATCGTTATCATTGAAGACGTTGACACGCGCATGTACAAGTGTGCGCGTATTCACGATCGCAAGTCTGAATGAGGTTTTTAACGCCTTTTATAGCCTTTAACGCTAAACGGAGCGCGATTACGCACGCGATTCTTCGCGACATGTGCGTTGCGAGACGTCACGCGCGCGAGGACACGGAATTGTCCGAACTCCGAAGGACATATCGCGTCGCAAAACAGCTGGTCCGGGAGGAAGCGTGACGAGGAGAACGGACATCTAATTGTGCGCACCGGACGGGCGAGCAACATGGAGAACGCGTTAGAACGTCGGATTGTCGTGTTGTAAACCGCGAGAAAGAAATCTATAGTCGCCGCGCCGCCGTTGCCGCGCCGTTTAAATGACACGGCACGATGACGCGGTCGAAGATCCAGAAGCTCAAGTTCTTCATATTTCTGTTGATCTTCCTGTTGGCGCAGACGGCAGTCTGCGATGGGATTTTCCGGGAGAAGAGGAACGCGTCGTCGACGAATGTAGACGGGAAGGCAATTCCTATCGATAATGTGGAAACGAATGAGAAGCTTGGTGATAAGGAAAGTCAAAGGAATGCGGTCGAGTCGCCCGTTGATGCGAAAAAACCGGCGGCTGACAAGACGCACGACATAACCTCGAAGCCGTCAGACGTCACCGTCGTGAATAAAACTGCACACGTAGATACGTCCAGTGAGGTTCGTATCTTTGTTAAATTCAAGCTACATCCTCGTTCTCGTATATGGCCATAATTTTATTGTTTTTAACATAAATTATAACCTCGAATAACTTCGATTATCTCATAATGCATGATATATTCGAGATAACAATCTCGTACGAAAAAATTCGCATGAAAAAAGACGAAAAACTACAATATTTTTCTGTGCGATGCTTTAAGAAGAAAAGTGTATACTGTATTTTGTCTTCTATATTTATATAATTTCTGTAAAATAAAAAACTATATGCAATAAAAGAGGACTTTAGATCTCATTGATTTGATACTAGCATGTTTCTTATATTTTGAATTTATAAACATCTTTGAGAACCAAAAATCGCTTATTTATTTATTTATTTTTTTTTTTCGTTCTAAATTCGTTCTAAGATTAAAGGCAATTTCGCACACGCAATGCTGCGAAAACAAAGGTTAAAAATAGAAAAAATTAATTATTACTGTGCACTGAAATAATTCTTGTATCATTTATTGTAATTGTAATTTATCAGTGCTAATGGAAAAAACTTTAGAATAATTTATATATGATTGATTATACTAAAGCAATCGATTCTAGTGCATTGCAATTATAGCATTAATGCTAAAAATCATAAATATTAATGATGGAACACATATTAATTGTTGATACATATTAATATATTAATTAAATATGAATATAAATATATATATTTTTTATCTATATTAATAGATTAATATTAGCAGATATTAGTATTAATGTTTTTTTATGTTGAATGAATATATTTGTGAACTTTATACATTTCATGTTTGTGATTTATATTGCTAAAATTTTTGGCAAAATATTTTTTAAGAATATCATATATAAATTTAAATCTATAAATAGCTTATATAATAGCTTATATATCTATAAATAGCTATAACTTTACAGACTGCATATGTTGTATTACTGAATTATATTTATATCTTGATTTTTCTCTTTTATTAACTATGGCATTTTGATAATAGTCCAGCGAAGGAAAAACATCCTTCAATACTGGTGCTCTTATACGTGGTTTCTTAGTCTTCGTGGGACTAAGCATCCTTGTCATGGCCTACATCATGTTCCGTAGTTTAAGGTACGTTTAAACAGACAACAGTAATGAACATGAACAATGTGTTACATACTCTCTAAAACTTTTTAGATTCAATTCCACAACTCACAGTTAACTCTTAATAAAGGTTCAACTTATTCCTCATCTCTTTTTAATTTTTAGAATTCAAAAGAGATGAATAAATTAAACTTCGATTGACTGAGGTTGACAATCGTGAATTGTGGAATTGGGCCTCAGAGAATTTCTGTAGAGTGAAGTCTCACTTTTGAAGATTGAAATTTGAGTCACTCTTTTTCAAGATTTAATTTTCACTCTTTAGAATGAGATTCCACTCCAAAGAATTTAGAATGTAGATACTTATCTGATATATGATTAATAATTTAATGAGTTTTGTGTTGCTCTTATCGACAGATTAAGTAAGACACGCGCTCAGTTGGTTCGAAAATACGGTGTCCTCACGCACAGGCAAGACGTCGAGATGCGACCGCTGCCACTGGATGAGGAAGACGATGAAGACACAACTGTTTTTGATGCGAGTAACGTTGTGACAATCAATACTCAACATCAAAACACATAGACGTGTCTCTTAGTGAAAAACACTGTTGCGCTATTATATATGTCATCCGTGTAATATTCTCGACATCATGTGATTTTTCATAACTTTACCCGCGATTTCGTGATGATACACGAAGACTATCAATTGCGAGACAGATTAAGACATTTTTCAACGTCTTAAAAGTTATTTGCTTTGCGCAGCAAGATTATCCATCAAATATGCATCTGTGATGCACTTATAATTAACGTACTATGCTTGTCAGCAATAGATGTACTTTTCATAAAAAACAAACAAAAAAGAAAAAATACAAAAATTTCTACCAATATTCTCCACTCTGTTAATATTACTATGTGATAACACAAAAGTTTAGATATGTATCGTCTAAGAAGAAAAGTTAAGGGGTGGCTATATCTCTTTACTCTTATACAGATTATATTTTAATTAATCTACGTTGTTGTAATTAAAATTATATAAAAAGACATGGATATTGTCTATATTTTATTTAATTCTACACATTTTTAATAAAAATTGTGCACGCGTGCGCGCATAAAATTTAATTGCACATATGTATAAATATAATTTTGAGATATATAATCTATTGAGAAAAATATAAATATGTGACAGTAAAAGTTTATTAATAATTAAATATATTAGTAATTGTGTGTGTGTATGTGTGTGTGTGTGTGTGTGTGTGTGTGTGTGTGTGTGTGTGTGTG